TATGGGGTCTATGGGATGGCTATGGGGTGGCTATGGGGTGGCTATGGAGTTTCCATGGGATCTATGAGTTGGCTATGGGGTTATAGGGTCTATGGGGTGGCTATAGGGTTATGGGGTCTATGGGATGGCTATGGGGCCTATGGGGCTTCCGTGGGGTCTCTGGGATGGCTATGGGGTGGCTATGGGGTTTCCATGCAGGCTATGGGATGGCTATGGGGTTATGGGGTCTCTGGGATGGCTATGGGGTGGCTATGGGGTCTCCATGCAGGCTATGGGATGGCTATGGGGTTATGGGGTCTCTGGGATGGCTATGGGGTGGCTATGGGGTTTGACACCCACCTTCTCCCCACAGGAACTGGCGCTGGGGTCAGCCGGATGAGGCCGGGGGGGGCGAGGACTGCGTGGCCATGGACTCCCGGGGGGGGTGGGGGGACAGACCGTGTGCGGTCAGCCTGGGGGGGTGGGTGTGCGAGAGGGGCTGGGGCTGCTGAGCTGCCCCATGGGTGGGGGGAGAGGGACATCTATGGGGGGACACTGTGGGGGAAGCCATGGGGGGGGGGGGGGGGGCGGCGGTGTCGGGGTGGAGATGGCAGCGGAGCTATGGGGCGGCTGTGGGGTGTCTATGAGTCTACGGGGCTTCCGTGGGATTTTGAGTTGACTATGGGGCTATGGGGTCTATGGGATGGCTATGGGGTGGTTGTGGGGCTTCCATGGGGTCTATGGGATGGATATGGGGTGGCTATGGGGTGGTTAGGGGTGTTCCATGGGATCTATGGGATGGCTATGGGGTGGCTATGGGGTGGTTATGGAGCTTCCCTGGGCTCTATGGGATGGATATGGGGTGGCTATGGGGCTTCCATGGGGTCTATGGGATGGCTATGGGGTGGCTATGGGGTCTATGGGGTTGCTATGGGGTGGCCATGGGGTGGCCATGGGGTGGCCATGGGGTGGCTATGGGGTGGCTACGGGGTCTATGGGGTGGCTATGGGGTGGCTATGGGGTGGCCATGGGGTGGCTATGGGGCTTCCATGGGGAGGGGGGGGATGCACTTTGTTGAGGACAATAAAGGAATGGAGTCTGACCTTGTGGGTGATTTGGGGGGGGGACCGCTGGGGACAATCAGAGGAAGGGGGGGGACATTGGGGGGGGTGAGACAACGGGGACACGGGGGACATTTTGGGGCACGCGGTGCCTTTAATGCAAAATAGAGAGGGGCGTGGCCTCGCGGGGGGCGTGGCTTTTCGGTGCGAGCATGGCCTTTTTGCGACAGTGGGGTCAGATGGTGGGCGTGGCCGCTGGAAGCCCCGCCCCCTCCGCTGATCTCACACGGGAGAGCTCCGCCCTCAGCTCCTCCTCCAGCGCTGCAGCCTCCACCAGGAACCGCGTGCCTGCACCAGTATGGACCAGTATGGACCAGTATGGATCAGTATGGACCAGTATGGACCAGTATGGATCAGTA